TTTTCATTTTGCACGCAAACGTTTGAAGAAAAAAACAAAAACATAAAACTAATCAGGGATGTTCACTTTGTCATTATTTACAACTTTATTCTATTTGGCAGAAAGTCACCGGATTTAAAATTCAAAAAAAATATTGGGCTGGTTCTCGAAGTCTCACTATTCTCAATTTGTACGACATGAATATGGTCTTAATTTGAGTGAAATATGGGGTTGGTTAGAGCAAGGTTCGATAAGAACAATGGATTCTGAAGAACTTTCGTTTTGACGGTTTTTTTCTTTATGTGAACTGAAAAATAGCAGCTGTCGAAATGCCGATTTCTGCCGTCTGGATTTTCCAACTTCTAAGCATTATATATGAGTACAAATATAATTTTGAGGGAAATGACAAAGTAATTTTGTAGAGCGAAAAAAGCACTTTCAAAAGGTATAGCGATTTTTCGGGTTTCACTTGTACTGTTTGAATTTATACGCTCAAAAAAACGCTACGATATTATGCTCCAACCCAATAGTTTTCTGTGCTTTTTTCTCCAGTGGCTCTTGTGTTGAAATTGAAATCGAAACGATATCTCGTTAGTGTCGAAAAGATGATTGAGATGTGAAGTGCTGATCATGTCGTGCAAGTGTCAGCCATTAAACGCCGCCATCGGCGCTTTTGTTAATTATATTTTGAGTTGAGGTGTTAAGGAGGCTGTCACACATCTTGTAAAGGCAGGGAGAGGGGAGGGGAGGTGGGGTGCGAAGAGTGGTAGGGTATCATAATTATGGAATTGTTCGGGTATCAAGCTGATCGGTTTGCCTTGCATTCCTACTTTACGCTTGGAATCTCACGCAATTGAACCAATAAGCTATCTCAGCCATAACTATGCGTACGCATTCCATCGCTCTATAGCTGTGTATTATTTTTGACTTGTTTTTGTTTGTTAACTGCTGTTTTTGGCCGCAGTTCGCCTTGCGAATGTTTCACAAGAATGCTGGGTTGTGAACAAAACTTTCGCCCCAGGCGGGACTAGAACCCGCACCTCTCGCTTTCCGGGCAAGTGCGCTACCAGTTACGCTACCGGGGCACCATTTCATTCCAACTCAGCTTTTCATGGTATACGTACCATAGCTTGTCAGCACTCACACGTATAACGTGTTGAGCCGGTTAGCCGATATCGGCAATGACCGCGAGGCTGAAAGCTTTAGCAATGAATTTTGACTTGTTTTTGTTTGTTAACTGCTGTTTTTGGCCGCAGTTTCGGTCTGGGGCGAAAGTTTTTCACACAACCCAGCATTCTTGTGAAACATATGTGATTTGCCCAATTCTTGTGTATATAGTCGGGCAAGCATCTGACATACACGATGGTGCAATCTCATTTACGAGCCACCGCAGAATTCTTGTATTCGGTTTAAGCCGCCCCGACATGCGGAGGCTGGACATCCGACGGCTTGTGTTGGCTTCTGCTGTCCCCTTAGAACGGCCGATGGTCAGATTTGTCTGCTAACCGAATTGGGAACAGTGACATTGGTGGCCGTAAGCAGAGTCCGCGATAATATGCCTCAGCGGGTGCAAACTTCCTTCGACGCCTTTTTTTTTTCATATTTATTATCTTCATCTTTTGACGATATTTTTTCAGACGGTGAGACTCTCCCTCGCTGTATTTCGGGGCAGGAAGAGTACCTCACTATTTCTTTCCCTTCAGTACGAGGCCATTGAAGAAAGGTGGTGTTCTGTTTCTGCGGCTTATGATTAACAGGTAAAGTTGCTAATTCTGCGTTATATTCGCGTAAAAGAAAGGGATCAAGGGTTGTTCCGGCGGGCCAAGGTTTCTCGATGCGTTCCCAGAGTAAAAGAAGTAAAAGATCCCATTGTGTTCTCGTTTTCGAACGGTTTCCCCGAGAATAGCTTACGGAACATCCGGGAAAATTTAGCTACATCTCGGCTCACAGTTTGGTCCTTGTTGCAGGTACAGCTCATATCAACCTACAAAAAGCAGAGTAGAAATCCAATTAGCGAGATACTTAAGCTACGAATTCCGTAGGCTCCAAAAGCTTGCTCAATTCTGGAAACAGTGGAACAGTTGGGAGTGCCGGGTCGCAGAACAAACGCGGAAGCATTGATTACTCATGTGAAGGTTAATGCCTGGGTTCTGGGAAGGGACAATGGAGACTACTGTGAAGTTGTGTTCCGTTGGTGAACGTGATGAGGAAGGAAGAACAATGCACGGGAAGACGTAGGAATTTCATGGTTGAAGGTTATATAGCCGCTAATCAAGGTAGTTTAATATTGACTGATTTGCGTGCGCTGCAATATTGCCAGTACTTCTCTTCCGTCACGTTCGAGGCTTCGGGCGAGCTCAGGAGGATCTAGCTCATCCGGAGCGTTGAACGTGCCAGACGGGGTTGTACTGGGAATGTTGCAGCGCGCGCATATACATAAGTCCATATTATATGTTTATCTGATACAAGGCGCTGGACAGAGTTCGGGGCTAGTTCGGCCGCATTTTCCTCAGATGCCTATGTCCAAAAAATCCACTGAAGTGGCCGGTGATCTGTTAAGAAGTCTGAGTAATGTCGTATTTTTTCAAATGATTATTTCTCCCTAAAAGCACATGTTTTTACATAAAGTCATGTTTCATTCGATGGAGTTTGATCTGTTCTACAAAAGCATATTTTTCGCTTTTGCAATCGTTGTAATATAACCATATTAAGGCTTTACAATAGCTGGTTCAGCCGACGAAAATCAGCCGAACCGGCAACTAACTCTGTGTACCGTCAGAAGAAACCAATCAGTGACTTACCGTATACCTTTTCGCGATTTTTTTGAACATTTCATCATTCGACCGTGCAACAACTCTCTTTTGTTCTCTATCTTTTTTGTTTTAAAATCTGGTTTTCCGCTTATCTCGATGGCTGACCGCCTTGGTTTTCGCCGATTTGGACCCAAGCCATGGCCTGTTAACCGAATAGAGCATAAAAAAGCTTTGGGAATGACACATGAGGTGATGCAAAATCATGAGAATTGAGAGAACATTTAGTTCAGAAAAACCATCACGTCCTAGCGGTCTATCGGCAAAGCATACA